CTCGACCGATCTTTTATTGGTGCATTGCTAGTTATGAATTTGTGGATGAAAAGTTTCAAAAGGAACTCACGGCGATTTTGGGGACGAAGATTGCTTGAATATTTGTGCTGTTGTAGAACACAGTAGAGCGAATATGATAAGTAGGTTTTGTCAACAATTTCACAGTTGCACTATCCATTCGATCCATTGTGTTTATTTTCAAAGACCGTTTCCCGGTCATCAAGTCAGCGACATCGGCGACTTGGTTGCGGTCGCAAGTACTTCATAGGCGCATTGATCGCCAATACGGGTGATCCTGCTATCAGTCGACTGAAAATCATGTATGTGCACTGGCTCAAGCTGGAGGATCGCCCTAGTCACATAACACCATCCGTTGGACTCATGCAACGTTAGGTTGAATAACATATATGGAGCTTTTCTGTGATATGAATGCACGTCTTGCATTCCATATTATTTTCAAAGGTGAATTCCTCGTGTTGATAGCGCGTGAAGTGTGAAATGAAAAGCTGCGAAGCACTAGACAGCTGTCGCGACCTGGTTGGATCTCATCAGCAGTGCGGTTCCATCGACCCAACTGGGGATCGGATCCGGAACCTCACAGGCAGAACGCAAGCGTGGTACCCACTCGGCCATCGGGCAGCTAATCAGATAGTTTTTCATTTTCTATTCACACGATATAGCACAACCCATCTTTGGGAGCTCGTTGCGGGCCACAGACCTTGCTCATCACAGCACCAGTCAGTGGGTCATGACTGGGTTGGAAACATTCACAACCTGACTGCTTATTACAAGTGTGTGATGACACTCAACCAAGTCGAAACAGCTGTCCAATTTTTCCCAGCTTTTCAGTTCACACTTCATTGGCTATATACACGACAAATTCACTTTTGAAATTTAACCAAATCCTCCATTACCCACTATATTATTTTACTGGTAAAATAATTGCAGGAGGCACCATAGTAAACATACTTTTTGTAATGGTGTAAATTCTGCTCAAATTGGGTGAATCTTGATAGGTCAGTCTGAATCCTTTTGTATTGAAGTATAAGGATACTGCACACAAAAAGACGGAACATATGATACGAAAGAAGACATTATCACTTGAACTGCGCCACATTGACGGAATGTACTAATATGATCGGTGCAATCATTTGCAAGTATGGACGAGGCGCTTAAAAAGCAATGCTACGGATATCCCAGAGAGTACTTCTCGGCAGAAAAACATCTATCTTTTGTCCGATATCAAATCCAGAATGAACGTTCGGATCAGTTGCTGTTGGACTCTTTAAGACAGGTGTGACATTCACATGAATTTGTGTGTTTGTGTATGCTAAGAATACGTTGCCGACATTCTGAAAACTTGATGAAGAATGGTGATTTATCGGAAAAGTTGTAAACNAAACACGAAACAGACTATTGGAAGCCCGAATAATTTCACACGGTGTCCGCGGCTCAGTTGATAAGATGAACATCATCAGAGACCAATTAGTCACCAAGGTAGCAACATTCTATCGATAACACTATCACCATTTTCCACAAATGGCTTAAATACCGTTTCCGAGACATGTTTGTGTTTTGAAGAAAACACGCATCTAAAAGCAATTAGGATAAAAACCGGTGAAAGTTGCAGACGTAAACTGAAGGACGAACATAATGTAATAAATGACAGTACTGTAGCACTCGCATTAGACACCATTTACGAATAGCGAATCAGGAATCACGAAACGTATCGATTATCAAAGTTTAGCTCCAAGGAGACACACAAAGAGGGCCTCTGAAATTGCAGTCCATTTATAAGAAGACATCAACGAGATTGAGTATTTGAACAGAAACGCCATCAGCTAAAGAGATATCAAGCATTCATCGCTTGTGTTCCATTAGTCACCTAGCTCCTGGTTCAACAGCATAGCTTATGATTGATTGATAATGTGAGGCTGTAATTCTTTGTTCTGAAACTGTTATGCGTAGCTCGATGGCCAGCGTTATCTCAGAGGTTTGGATCATCACTGAAATACATGGCGGATAAGCTGGATCTAACGGGTCTAATGCCGCTTATGGACGTCCTCGGGATGGTGATGATTATTCATATGATCAGCTTAACCAGATGGATCCGGATGGCAACAAAATATTGACTACACCTAGACACAGACAAATCACATGGAAGACATGTGCTAACACTGAGCCCACTAGCTTATATTCATTATCATGGATATGTAATTTTCTGCATGATCATGTCATTTTCTGATAATCCTAGATGAAATTTAATGCTTCCGTTCCTCTCACGCTTCGCAGTCATTCAGCAGCACACGGTACCCAGTGCCATGCAGCCTACCCATGACGGTCCCTTGGCCTTCGGGTGGCCAAATTAGGGAACATCCTCCCCCATTGATTTTCTTGCTCAACCGCAGGTTCTCAAACGGACGGCCTGTGTGCTTCCGATTGGATCTTAATTGTTCCAGTCCTCAGCCAAGCCGGGCGGTGTTCGCGAACTCGATTGGATAAGCGCCTGGTCATGCTGCCGATGTACCCAGGCCCAGGGGAACAGGTGAATGAATATAAACAAAACCCAGGCTGCAGAATCTGGCACACTATCCTTCAATCGGAAGCACAAATCTGGTTTAGATATGATCATACCTTTGATGGTTGGAGCCACAGCTGAATCACTAGGACTCGAATTTCTTATCCCCTGTTCCGTTTTTTATTGTTAGCCATATTTAATGTTATGTAACGGCATGATTACGAATAACTGAAAACGAGCTTGTTCGCGACGCTGTTGTTCATGGTTTCAGTTAATGATTAACTAGTACGAATTGATTGTTTTGAAAATATTACATTATCAGTTCCGTCAATGTACCTAATGCTAAAAATTGATTGATTGGAATACAATTTCATCTAGTCTTAGTTTCAATCTTGTTTAAATCATGAAACGGATAATTCCATTCTAACCGATTCATATTGCCGACCAAAGGGGCTCTCTAGAATTTCGACTTGACCGTGTAATTGTGATACATGATCGAAAGTGTCACCATGTAACACGTCATTTGTATTTAGTTCAGTGTTCAGTCAATATCAATTATCCCACATTACTACTCAAGGAAATTTGAGTTTATCGCGAACAGTTGCCCAGCACGACAATAGCATACGCATTTCATGTGAGTTTTTATGTCCGATTTGACCAGCCATCGAGGGAGTTTGTGATAAGGCAAGTGTGCATGCGCGAAAATTGGTCCGAGTGAAGTCCCGAAATTGTGAACTTTCGGCGGACCTCTCATTCGCAGTGTTCCGTTCATATTCGCCTCGGTTCTTATTATGGGACTTCGGAAAAGTAACCATTGAGAAACAAAATCTATACCTTTTTTTGTCATAAGGCCTTCGAAGAAATGATTACTGAGACTCCACTTAGACTAATTTTGTGCATATAAAACTAGCAATCACAAGCTCCCCCGATTACTGGTAAACATTCTTGATTCTATTCGTAAGTCTCTTATACCTCATGGTGTGGAAGATACTTTCGAATTCAATGACATTGTGGAAAACATGACAATATCTCAAAAGAGAATGTATTCCATAGATGTGCATTCATTTTTTGCTAATGTACCGCTTTATAAAACAATTGATTTCTTGTGTGATTCTGTTTTTTTCAAGCAATTTTTGAAATAATATTACTCTTGGATACTCAAGAGAACTTATTCTTATATGTACAGAAAACATTCGCTTTGAGTTTGAATGGAATACACGCGAACAGATTGATAACGTGTCAATGGACAGATGTTTTTATGGGAATGATTGAGAGGAAACTAAGTGATAAGTAATGCGACTCCTATTTGGAAGAATTGCACAAAAAATAGTCCTAAATCCGTCTCATGGATCAGCATTGCATGCCACAATACGTAACCACCACAATCAACCTGGTGGGTGATATCTGTGAAACGCTTTCCCAGCTCCCAAACAGAATTGGGAACAAAATATCCACACTTCACGAAGTCTTCATCGTGCAACTCCTTTATCTTTCAATAAATTGTGAACTCCGAAACTGTCGGCTCCCTTTTCTTTGTTAAGATCATTTGAAACAGACGGGCGTCAAATTCTGTGCATTCATTCGTCCACAATTTCTTGTGAAGTCACATTGCCGTAATTCCGTGGTGTATGCATATGCTTAAAGAAAGTGGCTCTTCTACCCCCGTATAACGAAAACTCCAATTACTCCTGCGCCCACTCTCACTATTGCTAAAACTACTATTACTTCTACTTCTCCCAATGCTACTACCGCTGCTAGTAATCCAACTACTACAACTAAACCTACGACCACAACTACTTCTTCTACTAATACTGCTTCTAATGCTCCTACTACACCTACTGCTCCCACTACTACTACTACTGCTACTACTACTACTACTACCGCCGCTTCTACCTCCAGTTTTCTACTACTTCCATTGCGAATACATTCAGAAATCGATACAGAGCAGTTATTGTTTCGTATTCCATAACATATTTCTCGGTGGTTGATAGCTTGTTATATTTTTCATCACCGAAAGTTACCGACTAATCACAAGCGAGAAATACTACCACTGCTACTACTATACTACTACCACTACTGCAACTGCCTTTACTACCCATGCCAATGCTACCACCAACACTAACGCTAATACAACTACTACAACAACTAGTATTTCCACTACTACCACTACTACTGTTGTGAGATACTACAAACTTGTGATTAGTCGGTCACCTTCGATGATTAAAAATAGAACAAGACCATCAAGGACCAAGTAATATGTTCGGGAAGAATAAACACTGCCTGCTCTACACATTACTCGACCAGCACCGCCTTTTGGGAATATAAAAACTGGTGCCGTCGCCAGGATCAGGATGAAGGTTCCATGGTCAGCAGCCTTCGAGGATGTACCGGGATGTGCGGATGTTCCTGGAGGAGTTGAACTGATGTGGCGCAGCTTGCCGGAATACGGACGGATCGCGGCAAGTTGACGGCCCTCCGAGCGCTCCTCAAGGGCCGTGCGCGGGCAGTGTTGGACGCGCCAAGAAGAGGCCGGAGAAAATGGAGTGGGCCGCCGCAAAGGACGCCCTGATCGCGGGCTTTGACACCCCGGCCGACCACCAGGAGGCACTCCATCGCTTCAAGACGGGGCAGCTCGAAGTAAGTGTGGACCCCTTTCGCATGCCGTGGCCCTGTGTGGGCTATTGGACCGCGCACTACCGACATTGGATGAGAATGCTCGCTCGGAACTAACCCTTGACCAGTTCGCATAAGGCCTTCCCTACTCTTGGCTTACCACTCGACTACGCACTCCAGTACCAAACACACTTCATTAGGGTCGTCCTTCTTTATGGTGTCGCGCATTTGGACGAACCGGATGAACCAAGAGGTCATCAGA